AAAAATCATGACATGAATCCATTTGATCATTGTGTAAGTGCAAGGGTGTCTCCTAGAAGCAACGCGCTATATAACATGAATACAGTGAAAAGTGTGCAAGGGCCGCTACATCGACGCCCGGGTGTAATGTTAAATAAGCAAAGGTTCCCACATTACGGACGAATGCGGGTAAAAAAGTTAGTCCATGAAACTAATGAAACTAATATTAGGATAGGATCTTGAAATATAGGTACTCTCAATTGTAAACTAATCGAATTAGTTGATATTATGTGTCATAGGAAAATTAATATCTTTTGTATTCAAGAAACTAAATGGGTTGGAGAAAAGGCTAAAAAGATTGATAATTTAGGTTTTAAACTTTGGTATTCTAGTAGGAGTCATACTAGAAATAGTGTAGGTGTAATTATAAATAAGAGTTTGAAAGATAATGATGTAAAAATTAATAGAGTTGGAGATAGAATTATAGCCCTTAAGATTATCATTGATACTAAGATTTTTAATATTACAAGTGCTTATGCTCCTCAAGTAGGTTTAGATACAGGATCTAAAAATAAATTTTGGAATGACTTATAAGACATAATACAAATGATACCTCTTGAAGAAAAATTTTTTATTGGAGGAGATTTAAAAGGGACATGTCGGTAGAGTGGTAGAAGACTTCAGAAATACTCATGGTGGCTACGGTTTTGGAGTAACTCATGAAGAATGTAGAACTATTTTAAATTTTGCTTTAGCGTATGAATTTATTATTACTAATATTTTATTCAAGAAAAGAGATGAACATCTTATTACTTATAAGAGTGGATATAATAAAACACAAATTGATTATTTTCTTATAAGAAGAAGAGATCGTCACAATTGTAAAGATTATAAATTCCAAGTGAAATTTTAAGTACTTAACATCGTTTATTAGTTTTAGATTTTAAGATTAAGAGTTGTAAAATAAAAAAATAATAGAACTCATCATCGTAGAATTAGATGGAGAAACTTAAAAGACACACATAAAATTATTTTTATGAGTACATAAAATTATTTTTATGAGTAAAATTCAAGATTTCAAAATTTGGGATATTCATGAAGAAGCAAATGTTAGGTGGGATAAAGTAAACAAGTAGCAAAAGATAGTAGCAAAAGATATGCTTGGAGAATCAAAAGAAATTTTTTTTTATAAAAAATAATAGTTGGAGGTGGAATAATAATGTGCAAGAAAAGATAAAATATAAGTTATGTTATAAAAATTGGTTTAAATGTAAAAACTTAGAGAACTGAGAAAAATATCAAACGACTCGCAGGGAGTCTAAGAAAATAATTTGTGATGCTAAAAATTATGCTTTTAATGATCTTTATAATAGATTAGATACTAATGAGGGTGAAAAATATATGTATAAACTAGCCAAACAAAGAGAAAAGAAAAGTAAAGATTTAACTCAAGTAAAGTGTATTAAAGATGAAAATAAAAAAGTACTTTTCTTAGAAAAAAATATTCAACATAGGTGGGTGAGTTACTTTGATAAATTTTTTAATGGAGTTTCTGAAAATACGATCGACCTTAGTGATCTTAATATAGTGAATAATAATAAAACATTTCATTTTTACCGTTGCATTAGTAAAAAAGAAGTTGAGGAGACTATAAAGAAAACCAAGGGTGGAAAGTCTATAGGACCAGATGATATCTCAATTAAAGTGTGGAAATATTTGGGAGATTTGGGAGTTTCTTGGCTTACTAAGCTCTTTAATATTATTTTAAAACCAAAAACCTGAAGATATCTCAATTGAAGTGTAGAAATATTTAGGTGATTTGAGAGTTTCTTGGCTTACTAAATTCTTTAATTTTATTTTCAAAACAAAAAAGATGCCAGAAGAGTGGAGGAAGAGTATTTTGGCCCCCATTTTTAAGAATAAAGGGGATGCACAAGAGTGTGCAAATTATAGAGGAATTAAGTTGATGTGTCATACTTTAAAGTTATGGGAGAGGGTAATTGAACATAGTTTAAGACGCATCACAAAGATTTCTCATAATCAATTTGGATTTATGCCGGGCAGGTCTACTATGGAAGCTATACATTTATTGAGAGGTTTGATGGAGAAGTTCAGAGATAATAAGGAGAATCTACATTTGATTTTTATTTTAGATACATTTGATTTTTATTGATTTAGAAAAAGCTTACGATAAGGTTCCAAGAGATATCCTTTGGAGAGTTCGGTGTTGATATGACTTATATATGACTTATATTCAAGTCATTAAAGATATGCATATTAGATCTGTTAATTGTGTTCAAACTGAAGGAGCATTGACCAAATATTTTCCTATTTCTGTTGGATTACATCAGGGATTGGCTTTAAGCCCATATCTTTTTGCTTTAGTTATGGATGGTCTTACTGGACATCTATAGGAGGATGTACCTTGGTGTATGCTTTTTGCTGATGACATTCTTCTCGTGGATAAAACGAGAGAAAAAGCCCAGGAAAAACTTGAATTATGGAGGTCTACTTTGGAGTCTAAAGGCCTTCGTTTAAGTAGAACTAAAACTGAATACATGGAATGTAATTTTAGTAGTAATAGCTCTAGTGACAGAAGTGTGACTTTGGGTGATCAAATTATTAAAAGATGTGAACTTAGACATAAAGGAAAATTTTATAAGATGGTGGTGAGACCTGCAATGCTCTATGGCGCTGAATGTTGGCCTTTAAAAGAGAAGCATAATAATAAGTTAAGTGTTGCCGAGATGAGAATGATTAGGTGGATGAGTGGCTTTACACTTAGAGACAAAATGCGGAATGAATATATTTGTGATAGGGTTGGTGCAGCTCCTGTGACAAATAAAATTAGAGAAAGTCGTCTTAGATGGTTTGGTCACATTAAACGTCGACAATCTGATGATTCGATTAGGAGAGTAGATGTTTTAGATTGAACTTGTGTTAAGAAAGACAGAGGTAGATCTAGGAAAACTTGGGCTTATTGTATTAAAAATGATTTTAATTTACTAGAACTAAATGAAAATATGACACTAAATAGGACGCAATGGAGAAAAAGGATTCATGTAGCCGACCCCACATAGTTGGATTAAGGCTTTGTTGTTGTTGTTGTTGTTGTTGTTGTATTTAAACTCAAATTAAGTTGACCCTTCTAAGCTATTAGATTGTTCCAATATATATAGGAGCATTACCCTACATAACAGTCCAATATTACATATTAACATATGAAACACCTAAACTCTTATTATTACACACACAAGAGGCAGCCACGTGCATGCAATAAAGCTGATTTTGCAAAATGATAATGGAGGCTAGGATGAAAATATAGGAACTAAATTAGTGATTAATTGCCAACAAAAGGAAAGCTTCTAAGCCATTTGCATGCAATGTTATGACTTGAAGATAGAATAAAAAACCTACTAGGAATGATGTAATTATAAAAGATGTTCACTTATCAATGAGTGAAGAAATCTTTGAAGGATAAAGATGACTTTTAAAACTTGTACCAGAAAGGTCCAAAAGAGTAGAGCCGCCAAGTACAAGTGTTCTCAAACTCTTAAGTTTTCATTGCTTTCAAAAACTAATTTTTGATTCATACTACGGTGTGTAGTCTAATACAACCAGCTTAAAATTCAAATAGTTTTAAAAGGAAAATTAGGGGTATAAAAGGGCCTAGATTGAGTGTGTTACGTCTCTATCCGTGTTCGGCTTGATGACAATCGTTTTGTTTTAATTGGCCCATGTTCAGCCCAATTTGCCAAACATTAACAAATTTCATTAAAACAACCTTAACCTGCACCCTTCTTTGGAAGTAGACACCTCACCACTAAAACATCTGAGCTGTATTGACTTAAGCTTAAATATAAATATACATATTACATTATTATACAAGTAATATATATAATTTCTTTATTTTAAACTAAGACGAGTGAAACGCAATCGAACAAAAAATTATCGTGTTTTGACTCTTACAATTTTCAGCTTAACAAATTTGTTTATGTTCAGCTTACTTATTTAAAAAATAATTCAAATAAGAGTTATTTAACAAGCCAAATACTTTAGTGGTGGAAATAGCAAATAAAGAAGAAAATTTTCAAAATATCATTACTTACGCCACAAATACTTAACCTCCAAACAATCAACAAAAGTAAGGAAGAATTGTCTTTTTTAAACGGGCATTTTCATACATACCACCTGATCTCTATGTATTTGCATATCCAATAGTTAAACCTTTTTTATACTTAAACCGATCAAATGGCAAAATCCTTCATATCACATCAAAAAACCCACCATTCTTCTGAAAAATGAAATGCATATTTTCATGCATAGAAAAGGTGGCATGCATGTAAAAAGTAAAATTTAGGTATTAGATATGTAAATACATGGGGGCGATGAGTTGTACGTATGTAAATCCCCCAAGTTAAACATCCATCATAACAATTTTGGGCTTAGCCTTAACTAAAGATATTAACCAAGGCCTTACAATTTTTAGTTAAACTACATCCTTATTTAGTTAAAAATTATTATGTTATACATTTTCCTAATCCTTCCTTATCCCTCACATGTCTTTAAATTATGTGCTTAATTTTCGAAATATTCTACAATTATTTTTACTAAAATTTTACTTAAACATCACATAAACTCATGAAACAATTATTGATATTTCTGTTTCTCAGTAATAGTGGAAGGTACAGACGATACCTTAGAACTATTATTCATGAATTTATTAATATTTTTAAGTGGTTCATTCACATAAATAATACCCAATTCTTATCTATTTACATATCCACCACCTAAGCCTTACTTTTTTACATTGATACCTCCCAAATCTTTCATATCACATCAAACTAACACTATTTTACTTTTAATAAGTTATACACCTTTTTATGCATGAATAAGCTAAAAACCCTTTCTTTCTTGGAATCTCTAATCATTTAACTAAAAAAAATAAAATAATAATAATTGCAATAAATACAAGAAGTTGAAACAACATACCTCTTTGAAGAAAAAGAAGAGCTAAGGCCTCAAATTACGGCTGTCTACACATCAAAAATAATACACAGCAGCTGCCAACAAAACTAATATTCATTCAAAAGATACGGAACAATGCAATAAACTCACTGCATGTTGCCGATATAGTGAGTAGAGCCCCATCCTGAACCAAAATCCGAGCTGGGATAATCCCAACCTCATGCATATGGATCAAGCTCGAAACTTCAGTGCGTGCTGAGAAATCTAATAATGGGGATAATCTTTCATTCCCTCAGAAATAAAATGGAAGCAGAGCATAGTGGCCAAATACCTCCATGAACCATTTTCTAGAAGCAGGCATATTCTTCTTAAAATTGCACAAAAGTTCAGGTGAAGAGCATCTTCAGTTCCTCTATTCTCGCAGTTCGTACTTCCTGATCTGTAAGTGCTCCAGATATCATCCTCTGCTTCCTTGCCTGCACAGCTTCCATTCTTTCCTCAACAGTTCCCTGTACATCGGAGAGGTGATCTCATGCGGAGTGGATATTTTTCTCAGTTATTCTAACCTTTTAGGAGAAATTTTTTTCGAATTTTTTGGAGGATTTACAAGCAAGCCACTAGATTCCTGTGTATTTACATATCTAACATCTACACTTCAATTTTTAATTACATGCCATCTTGCCTATGCATTAAAAGTTATATTTCACTTTCTGAAAGTTAAAATGGTGGGATTTTTTTATGTGATATGAAAGCTTTGAGTGGTATAAATGTTAAAAGCAGTTTAGGTGTTGGATATGTAAATACAGAGGAAGTAGATTGTAATTATGTAAATGACCCATATTTAAATGAACGGAGCAGGTTAGAAGAAAGTATGATATTGGTACCTTCACAATGAACCTTTTGATTGATACAGGTTTAGTTTGACCGATCCGATGAATACGCATGACGGCTTGCTCTTCAACAGCTGGATTCCACCAGGGATCCTGATATATTAAGTAAACGCTCTCAATCAAATGCTCAAATTATAGATTTTTAAGGATTAAGCATTACCTTTAGCTTCATAGAATGGATTTATATTTACTCCAATAAATTAGAAAAGCTTGATAGATGACCGAAAAAGGGGGGCATTTACCTACATAGCACACAATTCTTATGCATTTACATATTTCACACCTAAACATTCATATTTACATGCATAACGCTCAATTTTTAATATCACATTAAAAAATAACACTATTATCACTTTTTAAGTGAAATAAGTCTTTCATGATAGGTTTAAAGTATCAAAATTTTTAATATCACACACCAAAAATAACGCTGTTATTACTTTTGAAACTTAAAATATACACCTTTTCATGACTATGTTTAAAGCATCAAATTTTTATGTATGCAAATACGAAAGTCTAGATGTGAGATATGTAAAAACATAATAATAGTGTGCTACCGCCCCTCCTCCCGGGTAAAAAACATAAATATCATGAATTTATTAAATAATAACTGCAATACTGAGGTAATAGACACATGGAGTACAAAAATCAAGAAGAAAACAGCCACTGAAACTCAGAAACATGCGTCCTGAAAGTTTAAACTAATAGAAATATAAAAGGTTGAAGAAATACAACCACCAAAGTGCGCAGAAGCATGGAATCCCACATGTAAATACCTTTCATATCAAAGTAGTTCACAATTAAGTTGTTCTTCCGTAAAAATCTGTTTTGCACATTACAAAATAGTGTGCACTTGCAAAATCCATTTGAAAGATTCCATGTTTTCTAATTATAAAGTAAATTTAGTCGGCCTTTACTAATTTTTCATTTCAAAGTATTAGGTATGACTGTTATGGTATGACTCATATATCTTTGGTGGTTGTATTCCTCTGTTTGCAACACTGCAAAACAAAAGGAGATTTGTTATGGTATGGCTCATATACCATATCGGGACAGACGCTGGATCGAAGCGGAGCGGAGCGGAGCGGAGCGAAAGAATCTGTCCAAATTGGGAAGTTACATTATGTGGGTTGGGGATGCTGGGTCAACGCCCCGCTATACGGTACAGGGGTAATTTGGGAATTACATATTGTACTGTAGGACTTACTCTAGGATTATAAATAGACCTGTTTGTAATCCTAGGTCTTTGAGAGAGTTGAATTTTGTATTCTGTATTCTTTTCTGAATATTGAAAAGAAGGTCACCGCTCTGCTCCCGAGGATGTAGGCATCTTTGCCGAACCTCGTTAAATCTCTGTGTTCTTCTGGATTGTGTCGATTACTATTTTTCTTCGCCCTTATTTTCTCAACAAGTGGTATCAGAGCCAGGTTCAAGGACGGAGAAGAGATCGGCGCAGGGACGAAGGAGGATTCATCGATGGAGGAAGAGCAGGCAAGGGAGGAGTAGTTCGCGAAGGGGCAAGTTTGGCGATTTCGCCGAGAGTTCGTGAAGGCGAGAAGGAGTTCCCGCGGAAGAGGCTCGGCGCAGGCAAGGGATATCTGTTCTCGCGACACGAACAGGCGGAAGTTCGAAGAACGGAGACAGAGGATTTCGCGATTGAGAGCAGCTCTTATTCGCGGCTTGGGCGGACGCGGCTCGAGCGGTTCGCAGGAGGCGCGATCGGGAGACGGAGGCGCTGCGTTGCCTTTCTTAGCTCGGCCGAAAAAAGAAATTCGGAACTTTTCCATTGCTGACTGGCTTGCGGAGAGAGAAGGAAGAATATTCCATTGCTTGGTGGCTGCTTAATGGAAGAATATTCCTTGTTGGAGAAAAAGGAAAGCTGCATTAATATTTTTTTTTATTTTCTTTTCCCTTAGCCCGCGGAAATGAAGAAAAATTAAAGAAAATTTTTCAAATTAAGCAAATTTAATTAAGGATTTCTTTTGCTAGACAAAGAAAAGAAATAAAGAAAATATTTATTTCTTTTCTTGGAGGCGGAGAAGAAATTTGTTGCTTAGCTGATAGATTTTGAAAGGTTTTTTGCAGAAGATTTTTTTTGCAGAAAAATTTTTGTTGCAGGATCAAAATTGTTCGCAAGGCAAAAGGTCTCGCGGGAACGAACAGGTGCGAAGCAGTTCGGATAAAGAGCTACGACAGTTCGGTGAGTTATGCTTCGGGGAGTTAGCGGTAGAGGCGACGTCGCAATTTTGAGGCGCGACAGTTCATGAACCTTCGTGGCATTATGCGAGGTGGAGTTTGCGAACAGGAGTTCGTGTGCAGTTACCGCGAACAGGAGCGTTTGCAAACAGAGGAGTTTGGTGGTGTTCGACCAGCGGAGTTCGCAGGTTTGTCGCAGGAGTTGCGACATGTGCAGTTGCAGCGGAGTTCGCAGGTTTGTCGCAGGAGTTTCGGCATGTGCAGTTGCAGCGGAGTTCGCAGGTTTGTCGCAGGAGTTGCGGCATGTGCAGTTGCAGCGGAGTTCGCAGATTTGTCACAGGAGTTGCGTCATGTGCAGTTGCAGCGGAGTTCGCAGTTTTGTCGCAGGAGTTCCGGCATGTTCAGTTGCAGCGGAGTTCGCAGATTTGTCGCAGGAGTTGCGGCATGTGCAGTTGCAGCGGAGTTCGCAGATTGGCATCGCGACAGTTCATAAACCTTTGCGGCATCAGGCGAGGTGGAGTTAGTGAACATAAGTTTATGTGCAGTTACTGCGAACAGGAGCATTTGCGAACAGAAGAGTTTGGTGATGTTCGACCAGCGGAGTTCGCAGCTCTGTCGCAGGAATTGCGGCATGTGTAGTTGCAGCGGAGTTCGTAGATCTGTCGCAAGAGTTGCGGCATGTGCAGTTGCAGCGGAGTTCGTAGATTTGTCGCAGGAAGGAAATCTTCAGTATATCACTGTAGCTTTGAATCTCAGCAACAATAGGCTGACAGGTGAGATTCCCAGCAGTCTCAGTAAGCTTGATAAGCTTGAGATTCTAGATCTTTCAGGAAATTCTCTAACAGATCATATACCTTCTGGGTTGACCAACATTGTGTCTCTTTCTTTTGTTAACGTGTCTTTTAATAAATTATCGGGCATACTTCCTGCCAGTTGGGTTAAATATGCAGCATCATCACCTGAGTTATTTATGGGGAACCCTGCATTGTGCATACAGAGTAATGATGGGAATTACTGCCAGAAAGCAATGAAACACGGGAAACATAACTAATTTTTTGGTTTTGTTCATGGTATTTCTTGGCCTGTTTTTGCTACTAGCTGTAGTTTGTGCTGCCAATTGCTTCAGATTGAGCTATTGCTCTTATATGGCATCAAATCGTCGTGCAAATTTCGTAGCGAATTTGCCTGAAGACCTCACATTTGAATATATAATGCGAGCAATGGAAGGATTGAGCGAAAAGTATGTGATTGGAAGGGGAAGGTATGGGACTGTGTTATGGTATGACTCATATACCATATAGGGACAGACGCTAGAACGAAGCGGAGCAGAGCGGAGCGAAAGAATCTGTCCAAATCGGGAAGTTACGTTATGTGGGATGGGGATGCTGGGTCAACGCCCCGCTATACGGTACAGGGGTAATTTGGGAATTACATATTATACTGTAGGGCTTACTCTAGGATTATAAATAGACCTGTTTGTAATCCTAGGTCTTTGAGAGAGTTGAATTTTGTATTATGTATTCTTTTCTGAATATTGAAAAGAAGGTCACCGCTCTGCTCCCGAGGATGTAGGCATCTTTGCCGAACCTCGTTAAATCTCTGTGTTCTTCTGGATTGTGTCGATTACTATTTTTCTTCGCCCTTATTTTCTCAACACAAAGCTCCTCCAGAACTTTTCATTTCTTTCTCTATTTCATCTGCAAGGGCGAAGGATAGAAAATCCTGCCAGTCAGCACTAAAAGCTTTCGATAAAAATAAATCCTATTCAAGAATAGCATTCCCGTGTTTAAATCCTAGGGATTAAAATTTTAAAGATAGATCTATAGCTATGCCTAGCAACTGAAATTCTCAGGAAGTTGGATTCATGCACCTTCGCATGAAGCTCAGTGAATTCAAATAAAAACAAAACAGCAAACTATGCCACCAGAAGAAAAATAAAACTAAAGTGAAATGGATATGTTTCATCATTAACGCAACTTTTCAATCCAGAAATAACGGCATTTCTGCATACAAAATAATAGGATTAAAATATATATATATATATATATATATATGTTGCATGAAAAACCATTTATCATGAAAAAACCATTTATTTCACCCATGGTTTTAATGCAGCAACTCCTGGAAAAACAGTACATCTCGTCTAACACATAGAAAATACATGGGATCAGCAAATACCAAGAGAAAGGCATTGCATGCAGCAGTAAGATTTATTCCAACACCGCCAGCCTTCAACGACATTAACAATACCTACAGCAAAAATTACACTGGTAACTGAGACTTAATTATAACTCATAGCGAACTATAGAAGCTACTGTATATTGGATTCCAGATGAAATACCAAAATGTTTTTCTCCTCTGTAAACTGACTGATCACTTTTTCTCTTTGTTGTTGATTTAAAGTTCCATCCAAGCGAGCAAATGTTATGTTGTTTCTGCCATTTGAAATAAATAAGAAGCCGATTGTCGTATTTGTAATAAGTTATTGCATATTTAAAGCATGTTATTAACAATAGCATCTTAAGGAAAGGAGCACAAATAACAAGCAAAAGCTCGAACATGCAAATTATAATTTGCAATTCATGGCATTAGATTTTTATATCAAAATAAATATCATTGAACCGGTTACAGATTAGGCTTCATTCTAAACACCAGACAATATTTGTTTTATATTTCTTAGTTACCCTGTAGGTTTTATTTTTTATTTAGATGACATGGCTTGTACAGAAACCATGAGGTAATTTTCAGATGAAAATCCCACTTCCTTTCCACTCCACTGTATAAGGGATCCTCTGGTATGAAGAAAGGCATTGAATATACAGCCTACTCATATCAAAATTTTGACGTGTTCTGGCAAAAAAGACACCGGGGAATATAAGAGGAACTTCAGACTGTTTCATGCTAGAAATTAGTGAAGACAAATGAAAAATTAATTGAAAAGCTTAAATCAATGACTGCCGATTCACAATAACCCATAGATTATAATTATTTCATTTATTTCTTTTGTTTTACTTCAATCCAAGCAAGGCCTCACAGAAATATGTATGCTGCAGAACGCCCATCTGAAATTTCTAAGAGAAAAGAAATTGAAAACCAGAAAGATATTAACAAAACTTGAGATCAAATGAAAGTATTGCGTATAAAATGACAAAAAGATAAACGCTCTCCTAAAAAAGATAAACGGCTTATCTATACCAAAATGCTAGAAAAACGTCATCCTAAAGAACAATTATCATGCTAAGCTTCGTTTAGGAACTAAGAGAAAAGCTTAAATCTTGTAAGAATTTGTATTACCTTGATAGTGGGACCTGCAGGAGATCCAAAAAAGCTGTCCATTGGCTAAAGACAATACTTTTAGAACCAGTGCCTCTAAGTTTCTCCAGTTCGTGGAGAAGGGCAGAAACTTTTGACGACTCTACCCAGTTCTTCTCAACGTCAATTTGAAAACGAGAGTCAGTGGGAGCAGTTATGAGGTCCTGTTTGTTAACAGTTGTCCTGAAAAATAAAACAAGATAACCAGTTATATTTTGCTGTCATGAAAATAAGTCTATCAGGATAATACATGTTATTGACCAAGCCATTCCTAAAAAGGTGTATTTACATATCTAACACCCAAAGTTTGATATTTACACGTATAACACATTGGTATTATAAAACTGTGCATGAAAAGGTGTAGTTCACTTTTATAAAGATAATAAAGGTGGTATTTTTGATGTGATGTTAAAGATTTGAGTGATATGCAAGTAAATATGAATGTTTAGGTGTTAGATATGTAATGTTTAGGTGTTTAGGTGTTAGATATGTAAATATATAAGAATTGTATGGTATCTATTTAGATGACCAAAAATAGAATAGAAAAAGAAAGATACCGACAAACAGGGCACAGGCCCGATGTATTACTCCGCCAGCTAGCAAGGAGACACTCCCGACATAAGCGATGAGCACATGGGGTCAGCACAGCATCTTCGAATGCTTCAAGGCAGATTGGGCACTCGCCTTCTTCACCTTTCCGCAACTCTTCCATAACCTCCATTATATATGCCTTTGAAGGGGCAACATTAGAATCTGATCCAACAGCTCCCTTACTTCCTTTAAGGAAACGCCTTGCAAGCTTGTTAAGATCTGCAAAGTCTTTCGTATCGCCGCGGCTGCTTATACATCAAATTTAATTAGCAGTACAGTTGATAATCACGAATTTACATGAATGTATAAAGAACTTATACAAAAGCCTTGAATAACTAATGAATTTAAATGAGACTAGAGTAAAAATTACTGAAAGTTGTCATGAACGGCAGAAAAAAAATTATGAAATCATTAAAACCTCATGCCAACTACACTCAAGTAAGATATTTTAATCTTTCAAAATTCATTAGCAATTTACAAATCGACACAGGATCTTTCCCATAGAATTTTAGTGGTATTGTAACTACTACAGTACCACGGGATTCAATATCCCGCAAGACAGGAGACGGGTCACCGAAACAGTTGTTTTCCTTTCTTATGCTATATATATATATATATATATGTACATACATATATATGTTATATTACGGTTTGAAAACAGTTTTTATGATATTTTTTGTCAGGACAATCGCCGACATCCAGGGCTTCCTCTTCTAGGGTTGTATCTGAAGGCGAAAATGTGTTTTCGCTGTAACTCGTTCGAGGTGGTGATCTCTTTTTAAGGGATCGAGCGGTGCTCCGGCCACAGCTCGTTACCGAGGGAGTATCTATCCATACCCAACTCCCCCGCAACCTTCCAGCAGCCAACATTGCCTTCCCCTCCCGACTCTTCGCTGCCTCCCAGACCCAGCCCTCAAACTTCACCGCCACCCTTTTTTCCTCCCTCGCATCTCTATTTCGACCGCTGTCCAGCACTCCATACTTGTTGCAGCCGCTCAGGGCAGCAACCTTCTTTTCTTTTTCCTGCAGTCCCACCACCCAACCACCTATTTCATTCATTTCTGTCATCCCCCTCACTGTCGCAGCCCTAGGACAGCATTCCTCTTACCGTCTTGCAATTCACAACGCTTCCCCTTTGCAGCATTTCACTTTCCCAACCCACCCCTTGGCTCCCACTGTAGTTCCAGGACAACCTAGAGACCATTCAGCCATCTAACACCAATACCCAACCACTAGCCAACCTCCACCACCTTTCAATCGAGCCCTAATGTGAGTTTTGTCTTGTTTGGTTGTGATTTCTCTTCCAAGTGTGTTTGGTTGTAACTATCTATTTGTTTTCAGTAATAACAATTATTTTTCTTATAGTTGTTTGGGTTAACTCTGGTTTCACACATACATGGGATTTGGATATTCAAAAACAATTGTTGAAATCCAGTTTATATGCAATTTAAAATCCTTTGCAAACAAAATGTTGCTTCTCTCCATGGTATATAATAAATCAATCTATTTTGTTTAGCATCCTTATTAGGAACAATATCACACCTAATAAACTATAATTTGGGTTCTTTGTGCCACAGTGAAGTTACTTCCGACCCCCATCACCTGTAGATTGAGCTCTAGGGTGAGTTTGTGTCTTGTTTCGTTGCAATTCCTTCTAAGTGTGTTTTGGTTGTAACCGTCTATTTGCTTTTAACAATAGCATTTATTTTTCCTATTGTGATTCAAGTTAACTATGGTATCACACATGCATAGGATTTGGATATTCGAAAAGATTTTGTTGAAATCCAACTCTATATGAAATTTATAGTCCTCTGCCTAACAAAATGCTGCTTCTCTCCATGGTATATAATAAATCAATCTATTTTCTTTAGTGTCCTTAATAAAAGCAATATCACACCTAATAAACTATAGTCATCATATTTTAATTCATCTGGGTTCACATAGCTCTTACAAGTTGCACACCCAAAACCAATCACATTCTTTTGCATGAAGCAGTCTTCATCCCACTTCAAAGTTTAGCAAAATCTGCTGCTTTAATTTCATATTTCCGAATAGTGTTTCAACCTAATATGAATATCAATAGCCAATTTTGAAAACACTGATGCATATTGTGTGTGTGTGTGTGTGTGTGTGTTTACATATTGATTGTGTTTTAAGGCATAATGTGAATAAAATTTCAATCAGCACAACAATATTTATTTTTAAAATAAGTTATAAGTTTTAATAATAAATATGGTAAATGAGCCTTGTTCTTCAAAAGAAAAAACAAGCATGCTGCAAACCCAACCTCGAGAAGGCACAAAGAACTAGTGATATTGCTAACATTTAGGCAATCCATGATTTAGTATTTCAATCTAGTTAGAGCATTACTTTCCATGGAAGACTATCAAAATTTTGCCAATATAATTTCTTTTCATTTTAACAAAATTCAAATTTTGTTATATAAATTGTATCCTCTTGAATTTTTTTTATCAAGCAAATAAAATTATTCTCGCCTCCACTATAGCATTGGAGCAGATTACTTCACTGTTCCTAGTATATCACATGTACAAAGTAGCCGGTTTATCACACCTCTAGATATGAAACAGGTTACAAAAAATGCCTATGAGTAAATAAGACTACACATTTACATAAAATCATACTATCTTTTAAAAACAATTCAACAATTCCCATTTACCTCACCCAAGAAATATTCATGAAGTATCCAAATGTACATGGTTAATACTGAAAAAACATTCCATTGGCAATATCATTGGCACTCCATTTAAAAAGAAGATAAAAATAAATAAATAAATAAATGAGGTTCTGAGAGTTCTTCTGCAAAAGCACATGTTACAGCACCCTTATGAGTGTCAACATAAGATTGTACTTGCAGGAAAAACTGTGGCCATTCTCTTGGCAAGTTTATCCGAAAAAAAAAAGGTTAAAAAATAAAACTTAAGGCCCATGCTTCACAATTCTGTTGTCAAAGTGATAGCTATCTACTATTATTAAGAACATAAGAATGTCCGGATCATTATCATGGTTCATGTTGATACTGCTTTCAGAAGATAACCAATCAAAACTAGTAAAGACAAACAAACCTCATCACAAGAAACGGATGATCACAACACTGGCGAAGACGTAATAGCAACTCTAAAATTGAGGCATAATTGTGAAGAACTCGTCCTTGCTCAACAAATTGATCAAATTTCACCTGGAAGGCTAAATCTGAGTTGAATTCTATGTAATTTATAAAAATTATCAACAAAGATGAGAAAAATATCAAAATAGTCCCCTGACACTTTATAAGGGTCATTTTAGTCCCTGAGTTGATAAAAGTGCTAATTTAGCCTCCATACTCTTTTAATAAGTGCTAAAATAGTCCCAACAATAGACCTATTTCAGCCTCAATTTAAAGAGTCTGGAGATTAATTTAACACTTTCATAAACTCATGGATTAAAATGACCCATATAAACAGTCACAGGACTATTTTAACACTTCACTCCAATAAATATTGATATAATTACTTTGGATCTTCTAAACAATGCCTCATAGAAGTCCTTCTCAGATTCTGCCAACTCACAATAAATTACCCCAATATCTGCCGGTGGAAGAATAATAATTGGCCTGCATAAATGTGAAATTTAAGGGATGCAAACCGATAAGATCAAGAAAGCAATATGTTCAGTTATCTAACCTGCCATCTCTATCTGTGCTCAGTTTAGTTCTTCTTAGCATTATAGGCCTCAGTAAGGTTTGCACCAGCTTTAAGCCACATTCATCACCTGCCTCATAAGGCTTTTGAATAAGCTTATTCCACCTTCAATAATTGATAGGTAAGAAGGTTTCATAGGACTTTCGAACATGTAAGTCAACAAGATTTTATAATAGAGAATACAAAGAGAAAATTCAGTCAAGCAAAAAATGTCAGAAAAAAAAAGACAATGAAAAAAGGGCACTTAAATTTTATTTGTTTATGTTTACACCACCGAATTCTTTCACATCACATAAAAAAATACCACTATTTTAACTTTTAAAATTGTAATGCATAGGTAAGGTGGCATATATGTAGAAATTGAAGTTTAGGTGTTAGATATGTAACTATATAAGAATTGAGTGGTATGAGGTATATATGTAAATCTTCCAAAAGAAAAATACAAAATAGATAGGGGGAAAAGACAATAGACTTAAAACAGCATGGTTACAAAATTAAATAGCTCAGGATGAACTTCAGAAATGACTCGAGCTACATGGAAGGAGAAGTGATCATGTGCCTATTTTACAACTTTGTCTTTTCAAGCGAAGCACACCCAAAATGAATAATTCAAGATGAAAAAAACAATAAGAAAGAAAAAAACTGAGACGTACCTATTTTGGCATAGCAAATAAAAGGCAGAGTCCAAGATTAAAGGCCTCTAGCAGGCAACCTTTTAAATGAAAGTTGGGCCTAAGCCCCAACATTGACAATGCTATGCTTCATTCGTTAGATATGTAACATATTTTAAAATTGTGGCATAAGAAATTAAGTATGGTTATTAATCCATACAGCTAGAGTTTATCATGAATGCATGATTTAAATAGATGATGTTCATATATCTTGGATTTGGCACTTGGATTAAATTTTAGCATTTTAAAGAAAAATTATCACTTCGCTCCAATGTCAATACATTCAACTGTAGACAAATTTCGGAACAAACGCAATCAATGAATTTACCTTCACATTTTTGTAAGCATATGGCTTGCACTTGTCAATGCAATATATATATATATATTACCAACAAAGAGAATTACCAACAAAGAGAAATAATTGAAATAATTGAAATAATGAAAGCATCTTGATATAAAGAATATCAGTAAATACAGCCTTTTAAAGAGAACAAACCATTGAGAACTTACAAAGCCCAATTTCCCCAAGGCTCTACGTGTAAGAATCGAAGAAGGCTGTATAGGTCTTCTAGGTTGTTCTGCGGAATTAATACTCATAAGAATATATTCAATTTAAGAAAATCTAAATCCAGCCAAGATAATAAATGCTAATCTTAGGTCAAAATGCAAAATAGCAGTGCTACTCAATATATTAATGCAGCTATGCGCGTAAACACGAAATACAAGGAATAAGGACATTGTTTACCAAGCACCAATAAATTCAGAGCAAGTTATTTATCAGCAATGGAAACTATTGGAATATTAAAATAATAACGGGTATCCCCAGGCATGATTAATATGCAGATTTTTTTTTATTTGTTGTTATTTGCTTTCTTATTTTCCTTTATTATGTTTTTATTTCTTCGCTATTTCCCTTTATTTTTGTTTTTTTTTCGTCACTTATGAGTGTCCCTTTTAATAGGCTTTATATACCCCTCTTTCTATCAGTGAGATCTGTTGCTCTACTCAAATATTTCAACATGGTATAAGAGCCGGAATCTAACCCGAGATCTCAGCCACCGCCAACTTTCCCTGTACGGTCTCTACAGGAACTACTATTTGTTGGCCCTTCCAGCTGAAGTTTGCATCCGCCAGCCCTCCCCTATTGCTCCCTGCAGACGTCGGTCTCCTTGGCAACTGCTAGCCTCCTCCCTACAAGTATAGAGTCTCATGCCAACTGTCCTGTGGGTCCTCCCTTCAGTTTTTCTCCGACGGATAGTCTCTCCTGCAATTGTCCGGATTACCTGTTTTTTTTATCCGACAGTCGATGATCTATTGCTGAAATCCGACAATGTCTCGAATCTCAACCAATTTTTTTTGGCTCAGTCAAAATCATTGCAAACTCCTCCAACACCGAGCAATCCTCAGATAGCATTCTTGATTCCACCGAAGGTTCGACTCAAACCTCCGTTCCCACGTAGACTAAAGGAATAGAAATCAACATGAACTTCTCGATCACAACTCACAAACTAAACGATATTAACTTTCTCCACTGGTCCCAAATGGTGCCCTTATTCATCAAAAGACGTGGAAAATTTGACCATCTCATAGGCAACCTCCAAAGACTTACCCGACATATGAAGTTGGGAAATGGAGAACTCCATAGTCATTTTGTGGCTGATCAACTCCATGGAGTCGTCAATTGGTCGTTCATATATGTTTATTCTTTCCGCTAGTGCCCTCTGGACGACAATCTGTGATACCTACTCCAATGTAGGAAACACCTAACCAATTCTATGAGGCGTCTAAGAAGATCCGAGAGGCAAAACAATGATCAAGAACCGTGACCAGGTACTACAATGACCTGGTTGCACTATAAATGGAATGTGACCAGTAAATACGACTACGCTTGGAACTCTTTGACCGATCTTTCTTTCTTTCAGAAAATTGTAGAAAATGATTTTATGTTACAATTCCTGGAAGACGTCGACAAAGACCTTGACGAAGTCCGGGGCCGTAATGTTGGACAAGATCCTCCTTCCGCTCGTGCTGCTTTCACCGAGATCTACCGCGAAGAGAGCCGAAGATTTGTCATGCTCGGTACTTCCACCCCTTCAACCAAATCGTCATATGCAATTATATATGCTCTCTATTCCATAACAAAATATTTCTCTTTCCGCAGTTTATCGCCGACCTATAGAGCATTTGCTACCGCCTTGACGGTTCATTAAATCCCATCAACTATTGAGGTTGCACTAGGGCATCTGATCTAGAAAGTTACAGTAATGGAGGAGATGAATGTCCTTCGGCGGGTCCATACATGACGTCATAAATATTCCTCAGAGTAAGGAAACAATGAGATGTCGAATGATTTTTAGCATCAAGTTCAACTCAGATGGTTGTTGACCTCATTTTGAGGTCACTACTCCTTTTTCTTAGGATCCTAGGATCTAGCTTTAGGAGTACCTATTGACCATCTTAGAAAACTAGAACTGGACCTACCCTTTTTAGAAATTCCAACCACTTCCTATTTTCCTGTGATGTCTAGCATTTATGGTCTCACAACCATCGTCTTATGGACGACCGATTAAGGACTATTGTGCAGAGACTCAGGGAGAAGTTTCTAATAGGATCTCGAGCCTTAGGAAAATCATTTCATGACTTTATCGTCACATACACACAAAATGCACAAAATTCACTAAATTACACAAGATCGGACTTCAATTAAGCCTAAAAGATTGGTGAAAATGTAAACTTCTCCGGACGACCTCTGACGACAAAATGGATTGCACCAACGAGTTCGAGACACCATTTTTAGTAGGAAATTCCGATACGAGAAAATTTACACGCAAGTCAATGAATTCATCAAAACGACTTCCGGTGGCAAAACGGACCGCGCCAGTGCGTCCAGAACATCATAATTACCCAAAGAAGACATTTATTTTTGATATTCTATGACACACGAATAAAAGGGGCAGATCAAATTTTATTTTTCAAATATTTGGTATTTTTATAATTATATCATTAATTATAAACTAATTTATAACCCTAAATCCTATTTGACCTGTCCCACACACGGCTTTCCTCCAATCGCACACGCAACATTCCTCTGCCTCGACCGAGAGTCGTTCGGGCGTGCTCTAGATCCCGCGACTCATTTCCCAGGCACGGCTCGATCGCAGCCATGGCTCGCCTACCGAGTCTTCCCCTCCCGCGTCTCCTCTGCCATTCGCGCCCGCGGCCACGCGGCTCGCCTCCTCAAGCTTCGCTCGACCGAGCGGCTTTCCAACGGAGAAATTCCACCTAACCGACTCTTCCTCTGCCCTAGGCTGCATTTCCTCCTGCCTTAAGTGCTTCTCCTCTTCTCCCTTTACCTGATTTGACTACCAATGAGGCTGGTAGGTGGCTGATTCTTCCCCCCTCTTCTCTGCCCATAAAAATCTTCTTAGATTCTCTGTGTTGGATTGTTGAAAATTTTGAGAGTGAAGGGGAGGTTATGTTTTCACTGTTTGAAGCTTTTAGAAAAGAAAATTCTGTCAAAATCCTTTCAAACCTACGTTTTCGTGCGCTGAGAGTGTGGAGCATTCGTTGGTGGCTATTTCTCGAAGCTTTTAGGAGGAAAGACCTGTTGAAATTTCTTCTTGGCTAGTTTTTTTTGTGTGCTGGGAGTTTAAAGGATTTGTTGGTTGCTACTTCTTGAAGCTTTTGGGAAGAGGATTTCTTTGGGAGGCATGTCTTACTTTTTTTTCCTTTAAGTCAGCATTAAGAGGTATTTATCTTCCTTCCTCTGATTTGCAACGTTTCCGATGGCATCTAAAAATACTTCTTTGCTCTTTTAAAGCATGTGAAAGCTTCTTTGGGCTTAACGTGTTCCACTTGGTGGATTTGAGGGTTTGCATCTTTATGAGGTGCATGTGCACGGGTATGATCTTCTCCTGTTTCCTAACTCTAAGGCATAGTTTTATGCATGTTAAAATATGATGTGTTGCTTGGATTGGGACATTAAGTTGGTTTATTTTGTTTCTTTAAAAAAAATAAAAATAAAAAATAAGGAAGGGAAGAAAGGTGGGAGATGTTTCGGCTAGCCTTGGTATGGAGAGGTTTGATAGAGCTTGTTACTTTGCCCTCCTCCCATCCCTCATCCAATTACTTTCTTAGCTTTGATGTTTGCTCTTTCAATCACTTCATATTCACAAATGGTAGCATGGCATGTGGAAGTAAAAATCTAGGCATGTTTCGAGATTTGAGCATGGATTCTTGCTAGGGTTAGTGAGAAATGAAGCATATATGGGTTGCCTTTATTCTTTTCTTTGTTTAAAAATGTTTGGGAGTATGATATTGGTGGTTTAAAATGCATGTTTGCTCCTCTAGAAATATATGTTGGAAGAAGTAATTATATTTTTCATACTTAGAATGAATGTTGGAATTCATTTCGATATTGAGGAATATTGGCTCTAGATGCTTATCTATTTCTTGTTGCCTATCACCATTTGATACAAAAGCTGGAAAAATATTCTCTGTTTTGGCCCATTTGGTGGTCTCGGTTTGGCTCTTTTTGAGATGAAACTATGCTGGAAAAATATTCTCTGTTTTGGCCCATTTGGTGGTCTCGGTTTGGCTCTTTTTGAGATGAAACTATGTTGGAAAAGAGACGAAACTACGATGGAAATATTTCTCTGTTTTCACCACCTGATGTGCTCGGTTTTGGCTCCTTTGGGATTGAATATGTGCTGAAAAATTTCTTTGTTTTGAGCCTTTATGAATTTCGGTTTTGGCTCCTTTGAGAACTTCTTTTTGTGGTAGACTTGGGCTGAATTTTATTTTTTATCGGGTTCGGTTTTCCCCTTATGAGTGGACTGAATTTCTTCCTTATGCCTCACGGTTTTGTCATGGATTTGGGCTGAGTTTTAGTTTCTTTCAAAAATGCATAACTGATAAAAGTATAAATGAAGATGTGGCATTATTTTTCTCGTCCTTACACCTCCCGGTTTTTGCCCCTCATATAGGGTTGGGCTTGGCTCCTATGCCTTTCGGTTTTGCCTATCTTTAGCAGATTTTTTTTATGCCGTTCAAAAATATAAGTCTTGGATATATTTGTGTTGGTTTCCCCATTTGTATGGACTTAATTTGCCCTTGGCTTGGGCTCGGGTTGGTTCTTTTTATTGGCTCGGCATAGGCTTGTTTTGAGTTCTTTTGATTGGATATGTCTTGGTTGGGTGTTCTTCTTCGATGCTCCTCTTAAGATATGATATTTGCAATCAAGTTTGTCATCCCAAAATATTTTCACTATCTACCTATAGAGTGAGGTGTTCAAAATGAATTGGGCAAATTTTTATTATGTCTTACTTGATGAAATTGGATTTGGTTTGGATAATTTATGAAAGCTTGTCCATTTACTCTCTTATGTATATCAAAGACAATACATTGGCAATACCTATGGTGGTTTTCTTTTTGCTACCTTGGTCGTGAGCTTTACTTGGTGTGTGTTGCCCTTGTGGCCTTCGTCTTTGCCCTTTACCCATGAGCTTAGTAGGTGGAAGTCTTTTTCTTCTTTGCCCCTACCCGTGGGTTTGTTTTGTGTTGGGTTCCTCCTTGCCAT